GCAGCCAACAACATTAAACAATCAAAAGCGCAGATACGTGAGCTTATGAACGTGGCTCCGAGTGTCAAACGTCGGCCACTTGAGAGGGCCCAAACCGAAGTGGGAACTTTGAGCCCTAAAGTGGCTTTTCGAATGAATCACTCAGCCAGGAGTCTTTTGCTGAAAACAGTTGTGAAGGGAGAGAAGTTTTTGCCAGGGATTGCTGCTTAACTTTATTTTAATGGGTTGCTATGCAGTAAATATTTAAAAGAATTGCTCTTTGGATAATAACTAAAATCTGTAAATACTATTCATACTATAAACATTTAATTGGTGCAATCCTATGCAGCTGGATTTAAAATACAAATTTAAATGCTATTGAGCGATGCCAATATGTATCTCCATTTCTGCAAAATCAAATGGACCCGAAACATGCCGTTCTTCTGGAAAAACTTTACAGCTGCTACCTTGCACTGTTTAGAATTTACAATCGCTCATAAATATGCACTGGATTCGGCTTAGGCTCTGGGTATCTCTGTTTATCAGCCGCAGAGTTCAATATATGCCGACTGCGAGAGGCCCAGGAACTTGCTTCCTCTGCTGCGATCTGCTTCATCGAAATGCGCATTAATTCCGGGGAGTCGGGTTCTGCCGCATCTATATCTAAGTGGCTATATCTCGGTTCGCCTGTATGTATATCTATGTATCTGCGCGGCGGCTAGGCAATCAATCAAGCGACAGGCGGCACAATCGAATTAGCATTTGCATCAGGTCGCATTGCAATCTGGCGAGGCTGCCACTGCTGCAAGTCGGTGGGGAGATGCCGGGCACCCGAGATTCATTTCATTTCATTCAAGTGGCAATGGTTATTAGCACCTATTTACAGAGAGCCGCCACTGCTTACCTGTGGCAACAACTCATTAGACAAATTGGCCGCTTCGATTTGATTGATTTGCAGCAACGCGATTACAAATGGCCAAAGAAGAAAAAGTATCTCCACTTGTTGTCAGTTTTGTAAGCCAGAAAACTGGGGCGGATTGGCCCGGCCAACCTGGCTAGCCTGGCTGGCTGCGCCGAGCTGCCTTTCTTGGGAATATAAAACATGAAAATGTGCCATAACGGCACACTCAGCACTTTGTGCGTCTTCCAAATTAAATGGAGTTAACTGTTAGCCACATTCAGAGACAGCGACGGCGACGTGCGTTTAACAAATGTCAACGGTTAATAAACCCGGCCCAAAATTAAACTCCACTTGGGATTCCACGAATTGGCTGGCAATAAAAGTGCGCAGAAGATCTCAGTTGGTACAACAGTGGCCGGTGGCTAAGTACAAGTGTTTTGGCCGCCAATTGGACATCGCAGCGCCGAAAGTGTTAATGGCTCTTCGGCAGTACCCACTGTAATAACCACGGCATAAATTTGCCCACTCGATGCCGGAGTTAATTAACACACAATCAGCCAGCACACACGCACACACACATGCAGACCCTAGACCAGCTAGCAAATAAAGAAAAGCCGAGACACAAGATGGAAAACTTTGCAATAATCACAAAACACACGTCGGCACTTCAATGCGCGAGAATGCACCGAAATTAGCCGAAATACAAAAACTAAAGAGGAGAGGAAAACCCAGAAAAACAGAAATTAAAGTCGTAAGATTACAACAGTAGCAGATTGGCGCTGTGTGTGCTTGTGTGTTTTGTTTTGGCCGATGGAGCAGAGGAGTCAGCCGGCATGCCATGTGAACCAATTTGTGGCATCAATCTCAGGCGTGATGGGAAATTGGCCAAGACGCGGGAATGGCTGGCTGGCTGGCATTAGATATTCTGCGCGGATCACTTGACTCCTCCGTTGGCGGGGTGAGTGTGATGCAATCCTTTCTCGGAGTGTGTAACTCGCTAATCGCAGGCAAAGTGACTGATAAACGAATGCCTGAGTCACCTGCGATGCCAACTGTTAGTCATCTACCAAATATCTGCAAATCGAAGCGAGTCATTCGGACATCGTTGGTGAATTAGGGGAATGGAAAAAGAAATTAAAAAGCTAAGCTTATACTTAAGTCATAAATAAACATAATATATTTACTTCCAATAAGACACGATCAAAAATTAAGATATACTCCACAGAAGAAGCCGCAAAAAGGAATAATGGAGTTCTGAACCAATGATTGTTTTTAACATTTAAGTCAAAGGAATGTATATCTGGATAAGTAATTAGTTTTTAAAGTCTTTCAATCAACGGAATTAACTATGGTCAGAGTCTTAATTCGTCCTTGGGAAACCATCACTTTACATGCATCGATTTACACGAGTAATTTGCATGTACTGGGCCAAAGCTCTCAGACTTTTCGTATATCATTTGTTTATGACAGCGCTGAGAGCTCCGTTGGCTGCTCATTGGAAACGTTGGCCGGGCAGAATGCGGAGACCCGGCCAAAAGGCCCAGCCCAAGTTAAGACTCACCTGAAGCACTTCCGCTGCACTTAGTCGCAGCACTTGTTGTTGCCGCGAAACTTGGCAACGTCGCAAGTGAACGTCTGCCAAACAAAACGAACATATGAGCCGGGTTTTCGCTTTTGGATTTTTCCAAAGTTTTTTGGGCCCACCATACCCATACGAGTACTATACTGTGCGGTCGCATCAATGACCAAGTCAAGCGTGGATTTTCGTGTGGGTCTGCGGATTTTCCTAGCTGCAATTTGTCTCGTTATTGTTGTTCTACTCGTGTTTGTCTGTAAACCACAAAGACAACGGCCAAAAAGAGCCGAGAAACACGTAGAAAATTGATGGCAGAAAATCAAAAGGCAGCGTAGATCGGGTTGTCTAAGTCCAATCTAAACTAGTCGAGGCGTTTGCGGTGGCTTTCGGCTACCACAGAGTGCATTGACGTGTTGTTTGCATGTGCCTCCAGCACCACCAGCCACTCGACCCACCAGCCCCACCATCCCTCGCCACTTTGGCACTCTTCAAGCGGGTTTCGTTTTTTGGCTTTCTGAAGAATCGGCAACTAGCTGAAAGAAACAAGATTTTCCTCGAGTTTTTTCCGCAGCAGTTTCTCGGCGAGTGCAATGCACTTCCCCGGGCAAAGTCTCCAGCTTCAGATAGTCGAGCCCCAGCCGAGATCCGAGCGCCGCGGATAGATATAGCCAGCAGATCCAGTGAGTGAGGAGTAGGTAGGCAGGCAGGCAGGCGAGTGTTGTTGTCGTCTCGGGAAACTGGGTCAATCACTGCTGCTGCCTCGCTTCATGTTTTCGGATTTCGGAGTTCGGATTGCTTGCCTCCTTCTGCCGGACGAGCGACCGACTGGCTTGGATGACGGCGCCAAATGAGTGTAAGTTGGCAACTATTTTATTGCTTTTTCATTTGCCTATTTCTGCGCGATGTTGCTGCACGGCAAGAAATGTGGCTGCTGGTCAAATGGTGCTGATGATGCATTTACTACAAGTGTATGTGCAAAGGTTTATCTTTGAAAAAAAGGAATTTTATACCAGTACCAGTATCTATAATTAATACTTGAGATCAAGAAAGATTTTTCGCTGCTAATTGTTTTCAGTGCAGAAAACTTGGCTTAGACGAACATTAATTCTTCAACTTCTTATATCTTCTTTTGGGAGATAAAAACAAGAGAAACTATCGTTTTCATACTCCTGAAGATTGTTTGCTATAAATGCAAGTTATATAATCCGAATTCTTCCATCATAGCTGCAGTTGCATTTGCAGGGATCGTAGATTAATGATGGCATCTTTGGCCCACTTTTCGGAGGCGGATTCTCAGCTTCGGACGGGGAACTTCCGCTCGCTTAACCTTCTTGTTGACCCGCTCAGGTGACATAACTAACGGTTAATCGCACTTTAACCGGCCACTAAAGAGCCAGACGGAAGAACGAGTTACAATATTTTTGCCGGCTTCGAAAAGGTTCTCAACTCTCAGTTCTCAGTTCTGGGTTCTCAGTTCTTGGTTCTCGCAGTCATTCAGAAAAGCCGGCCGGCTATTCGATCAAAAACAAAATAAAACTGGTTCTCTCTTGCAGTTACCTCTTCTTCCATTCTTGTTCCGTGTGTCTGGGGTTTGTTCTTAGCCGACTTTGTTGTTGGCTGGTTTTTTATGTATGGTAAAGCTTTGTTTGTGTCACGAGACCGCTAAAGTCGTTTAATGTCTTTTAATTCTCGTGAATCGTCGCATATGAGGTCTGCGAGAGTCAGCTAATGGAAAGGTTTGTGCGACTCCGAGATCCGCTCGAGATTATCATGTAGCAGCCGGGCTTTTCAAGCGCGTGTGGCAAGTGACTTTATGTGGAAAAATTACGGTTAATCGGTTGGATTTTTCGAGAAGCTTTTAGCTACCTGATAGTTCTTAAATAATTGTTGTTTTATTCTAATTAAAATTGTGGATGCTATTTCCACTTATTAAGTAAAATATTCAAATGTAAACGTTATAATTGTAAAATTTTTGCAATTTGTTTTTGTAGACTTCAGTCTGGAAATTTAGAAATAATTTGTAGGGTACTAAAAGCTTTGTTAAAAAAAATTATCTCGAAAATAAAAGAGATTGTTTAGTATTTCATAACTATATAAATACATGAATAAATATCTATAACTATTTCCGATAATTATTATATACACTTAGTTATAGCTTAACAATTTGTGTAATTATTTAATGCGGATTTTATAAACGGTTCAGTGGCAGTTAAAAAAAGCGTTGCCAGAAAGGTTTAAGTTTTAAAATAATAGTGAATGGTGGCGCTGTGTTGTAAACTTTGTATATGTTTTCTACATTGCTACCTTACATTTTACGCCATTCGAGTTTTACAGATATCTTACATTCTACAACGACATTACCTTATGTCAAATTTTACATTCTTCAAAACTTAAATCCTGCCTTTCATTTCTAACAAACATTTTTGGAACTTATGTATATTCATTAAATTGTTTATGTTAAAATATTTCGCAACAATGCTGGAAGTTTCTTTTTCTTAAATTGTTCGAACCATCCCCTTTTAAAGTAAAAAAAGAAAAATCCACTTTTTAATTTTAAATAAATTCCATTTGTTATTTGTCAAAATGTTTGCCATTATTAGTCGTTTATTTGGGTACAAATGTTTTATTCATATAAGACTACAAGAGAAAGTACTGCACACGAATACAAAATTAATAGATTGTGCCCTAAGATTATGTAAATACAATTGCGGATGCTTTTAGAATTGCCTTTGCTGGAGGATCTCTTTTGAGAGTGGTCAATCGATTATCTTTGGATAAGCTCGTATCGTATCGTATATAGCTCTAAACGCATGGTATTGCCAAACTGTCGTCTGTTCGTCAGTCTTGGGTGCTTGAGTGCCAACTCCTGGACATTGGACGTTTATCGAGATTTCTGCATAAATTCGATTCCCTCGGAATACTAGATACTGTGGTTCCCTCTTGCCGACGTTGCGATATAAATAGTTGTATCAAATGATGTCAGATTAAGCGGGGTTAAGATTAGAGAGAAGGGTGAGGGAGTGGAAGGTGGTGAAGTGAATGAAGAGAATGGCTGCGAGAAATGCGATGGACGTGCCTCCGTGTAAAGTGTAAATAGCGTAGAGGAGGTGACAAGTGCCGAAAATGGACAAAAAGATGAGGATGTGCGATGAGTCGTGAGATGAGATGAGATGAGCTGAGATGATGATGGATGGGTGGCGATGGGCAGGGAACAGGGGAAGCTTGAGCTCTTGGAACATTTCCGTTTGATGTTCTAACTGCGCTTGACCTTCCTGTCTGTCTGTCTATCTGTCTGTCTGTTTGATTGTTTGTCTGTCTGGGAGTCCTGTTGCGTCCTGTCCGTGTGTGTGTGTGTGCTGCAGTAGTGGTGTGTGTGTGTGTGTGTGTCCCAGTGGGGTCAGAGGATGCTGCAGTGCTTGGCCGCCAGCTGGTGGCGCATGCCGCGCAGAAACAGCACCTCGCCCCCGTCACGCACGCCCCTCATTCCTCTGGCCACACCATTAAATACAATCGCCCTCGACCTCCTCATGATTGACGTCCGGATCGAACTCGTCGTCGGCGGTGGCCTCCTGGTACTGCTGGTACTCGGAGACCAGGTCGTTCATGTTGCTCTCCGCCTCGGTGAACTCCATCTCGTCCATGCCCTCGCCGGTGTACCAGTGCAGGAAGGCCTTGCGCCGGAACATGGCCGAGAACTGCTCGGAGATGCGCTTGAACAGCTCCTGGATGGCCGTGGTGTTGCCGATGAACGTCGAGGACATCTTCAGCCCCTTCGGCGGGATGTCGCACACGGCGGTCTTCACGTTGTTCGGGATCCACTCGACGAAGTACGAGCTGTTCTTGTTCTGCACCGCCAGCATCTGCTCGTCCACCTCCTTCATGGACATGCGGCCCCGGAAGACGGCGGCGACGGTCAGGTAGCGGCCGTGGCGCGGATCGCAGGCGGCCATCATGTTCTTCGCGTCGAACATCTGCTGGGTCAGCTCCGGCACGGTCAGGGCCCGGTACTGCTGCGATCCGCGCGAGGTGAGCGGGGCGAAGCCGGGCATGAAGAAGTGCAGGCGCGGGAATGGAACCATGTTCACAGCCAGCTTGCGCAGATCGGCGTTCAGCTGGCCGGGGAAGCGCAGGCAGGTGGTCACCCCGGACATGGTCAGCGAGACCAAGTGGTTGAGGTCGCCGTAGCTCGGGTTCGAGACCTTCAGGGTGCGGAAGCAGATGTCGTAGAGGGCCTCGTTGTCGATGCAGTACGTCTCGTCCGTATTCTCCACCAGCTGGTGGATCGAGAGCGTGGCGTTGTAGGGCTCCACCACCGTGTCGGACACCTTGGGCGAGGGCACCACCGAGTAGGTGTTCATTATGCGGTCCGGGTACTCCTCGCGGATCTTCGAGATCAGCAGGGTGCCCATGCCGGATCCGGTTCCGCCGCCCAGCGAGTGCGTCAGTTGGAAGCCCTGAAAGAGTTTGGTTTAAAGGAGTTATCAGTAGGAGAACGTGTACAGGTCATCTTTCCTGAACTGGATAAGCAACCAACCTGCAGGCAGTCGCAGTTCTCGCACTCCTTGCGCACCACGTCGAGGACATTGTCCACCAGCTCGGCGCCCTCGGTGTAGTGGCCCTTGGCCCAGTTGTTGCCCGCTCCCGACTGGCCGAAGACGAAGTTGTCCGGCCGGAAGAGCTGGCCGTAGGGCCCCGACCGCACCGACTCCATGGTGCCGGGCTCCAGGTCGAGCAGGATGGCCCTCGGCACGTACTTGCCACCCGAGGATCGCGTGACTGCTGGAAGGAGATTCGTAGGTTCGTGTTAGTGGGCCCATCGGAATCTATTGGATGGCAAGGGCTCACCAGATGCCTCGTTGTAGTAGACACTGACTCGCTCCAGCTGCAGGTCGCTGTCGCCCACGTAGATGCCATTGCTGTCGATGCCGTGCTCCTCGGAGATGATCTCCCAGAACTGCAAAGAAAGATACAAGAAGATTTATTTAATTTACATTTCGGATAACTTTCTTAACTCAGCAAGTGCAAGCTGACAATCTGGAGTCACTCAAGTTATAGAGAGAACTGGTTTAATTAGTAGTAATTAGTATGAGCACTGTTTAGCTTAATAAAAGCCATTTAACATATTTCTCTGGAAGTATAACTCAATTAAATGAGAAGCAGATGCCGCTGAGCAGCATGAAATAATATTTGTATATTTATTTAGTGTTTCCTTATACACAAGAGATACGGAGGTTTGCATTACCGAGATGGAAATTAGCAACATCAGCTAATTCTTTTTCCATTCCCTCTCTAATATAAAAGATAAGAGGCTGCAGCCCGCATCTTAGAAGTCCGCTTATCTGCCGTTCGAGCAGAGATCACTCATTCTTATCGTCCCTCCAGAAGATATCTTTTACCCCAAACGGGCACTTGGCTATTGCGGATTCTTTGGTCGGCGAAAGCCCCACCATATATTTCCGGAGTCGTCCATCAAGCTGAGTAATTGTGCCCACCCAGCCGTGTCAGAGTTCATGTCGAGCCTTGACATATGGCCGCAGCCACAGAAACCGCCCAAAAAAGCAACGGACAGCCGAGAACAATTCTAACGATTTCTGTTCCTGCCTCCTCCGCAAATGTGACAATGTGACAAACAACAAGGCGCAGCCGCAGCCCATAAAGTTTGAGTTTTTGGATAAATATACAGCGGCACAGAGTGTATATATGGGATGTTCCTATTCCACTGACGCACTCGTATGCGGCCTGTCCATATAGGGGGCCTGCGATGCCGCAGTCAAAAGTGAGACAGATTGCCCGAAAAAAGGGAGAAATAAATTTATGTTTAGTTTTCCGAACGTCAGTTTTGGACGCCGGCGAACATGCCCTGATTTAGTGCTAAATTTAAAAGATGCGTCCGGGCCAGTAAAAAATAGTGGCCCTCTCACACTGTATGGGACAAATTTCCACGCCACGCCACGCCGCTCCTGGGGAGAAATGCTCCTAAAAATAGACCAGCCCGTGGGACGGAGCAGCAAGATGAACTGCCTGTGCAGTGTATAGTATATAGTGAATAGTATATGTAAGTAGGATGGATGCTGACTCATCGGGGGCCAAAGATCCACCCGAAAGTTCGGGGAGCTGCAGGCCAACGACCCATCATTAGACGGGCGAAGCCACCCAATCGAAATGCGATGAATTGGGTTTATCGCGGATACACAGCCATCGCGGAGATTTATTGAGGAAGCGCTCTGCAATTGTTGTGCTGTGCTCGGAAAGAACCAAATTTGGGCGCCGCTAGTTGTTCATTAGCCCGACTATTTTGGGGACCCAAATAGACCCTCCATTGGAGCGGATCGCGGCTGGATGGCAACAGTGCCGGCTCACGGATCGAAGATCGAAAGATCGGCGGAGGGGAAGCAATAAAAATGTTAGCGATTCCCCAGCCGAGCGCAGACACATTCCTCCGACGTCTGAGTTTCTTCCCTTTGGCACTTGAACTTGACGTGTGCGACTGTAAACAGCGAAGAGGGTTGCGATGGGTTGGGTTGAGTTGGATTGGATTGGGTTGGATACTCCGCAGGGGGGAATGGGGGAGTGGAGCTACCCGTGGCGTTTGCACTCTTTGTTTGTTTAAGAAACAAGAGACTGGCGGAGAAGAAACTACATCAACAGAAACGAATCTCAGGCGGTGCAATCTTGGCAAGATCATCAAATTTAATTGGAGTGTGGCCGCTGCAATTATGAAGCTAACCATAACAGCTCCAACAATAAAGCTCGGTTTATAAGGCCGGATGGTCGGATGGTCGGACAAACAAAACCACTCGGCGGCGGCAACAGATATGAAAACCGAATTAGCACACAAACTGTTGAAGTGAAAAGTCGTTTTTCACCTCCCCCTCCCCCTTGCCTCCCCCCTCCCCATCGCACTTCCACTTTTTCACTGCTTCCAGCACGACCATCGCTGATCGCTTTACTTTTACATTCGACTAATTTTTCACTTCGGAGATAATGGGTTTGTCGGAAAATGGATTTTTCGGTGAATGTCAGTTGCAGCGGATGGAAAATGGAAGGGGAAGGGGAGGGGGAGGGGAAACGGGGGCTGGAAAAACGCCACACAGTTAGATGCAATTATAGATTGATGGCTTTTTGGCCAGATTTATTTCGGGCAAACACGATCGGTGGCAAGAATTCAATTTGCTGGGGAGAATTCGTGTCGAATTGCATTTACGGTTTTAATTACAATCAAAGCGTTCCTTAAATGGAATAAATGGAGGAGGAGATCAGGAGTGAAAAATAACATTGTTTTTTAAATTGAATTTCATTCTTAACTTAGAATTAAAACTACCAATGTAAGATGGCTTCTTTGCTACAATTAGTTTCTCACTGCATTTACTCCATGAAAGTCTTCTCCAATTACTGGCAACATCTGTTCTAACAACTTCGCTGGCCAAACGGCTGCGAGTCTATTCTTTTTCGAGTAATTAATTTCAAAAGCTCTGCTGCTTGGCGACTGGCAACTAGCAACTGGCAACTGGCCGGGCGAACCCCCCTACAAAGTAGACCCTCGACGCCCCTGCCACGCCTCTAGCATGCGATCATCTGGCGACTGGCAATCGAGACGCCCTCATTAAGAGTTGCATGTCTGGGAGCCGCCACAAAGTAGCCGAGGATGCACTGCTTCTCTATTCGAGTCTCCAGTCTCGAGTCTCGCGAAGAGGAAACCACTCGGGCATGAACTTTCGGGCTCCAAGTCTTTCTTCTGCGCCGAGGATCGCCGACTATGCAAAAGACGGAGAGTGGCATTTTCACAAGATATAAAACATTTGGCATCAAAAGAAAATTCTTTTAATTGAAAGGGGAGCCCCACACCACCCACTCCTCCCATTTGTCTTTCCCGCAGCTGCTGTGGAGTGTCAAAAAAAAAAAAACCAAAGAGGAGAGGAGGCGATAAGAATTCCGAAAGAAAGAGCGGGTTTATTGACTTTGGCTCCCGGTTGCATGGCCTTTGAATTTAATATATATATTTAATCTCTGGGGCCGCGCACTTAGTATGCACAAATCGTAGTTTCAGCGGGCTGGAAAGGGAAACAGAAGTCACATATAGAAGGCAGCCCCGATATCCTGTAACTGTATACAATAAAGGACAGGTCCGGTGAGTCACTTCCTTTTTCCCTGCACTTGTGCGGTTTTCGGAGGGACCGAGTCCCACTCCCATTCGGGCGACCGCTTGTCACATTCTTTTTTACTTAAATGTCCACTCAGCTCAGCTGTTGGTTTCTTGTTTTTGGGTCTCACATTACGGGAGGTTCGCCGCTCAAATTACCAAGACAACTTCCCATCATATCTCATTCGAGTACGCGAACGCGAACGTCTGTTTGCGCGAGTTCTGCCCCATAAAACCATTGCTATTGCCCAAACGCCGAAATTCCGGGAAGCACAAAAGGCAAGCGAGTTAGCCGCTAAATTGAAGCTGCTGACTGGCCGCTCGCCATCTCGCTCGCACCTCAAATTGACTCATATCAAATGATTAAGATTTCTGGCTTATCTTCAATGAGTGTTCTGTGGTTCTATAGTTATCAGCTCACTCTGCGCCGCATATGTGACCCACTTTGCAGGGGGTGACGGTTGGGGCGGGCGAGGCATTGACATTGATGCCACAGAAAAATGCACCCAGCGGGGACCCACTTGGCCAAGTCGCGATCCGAAACTGGTATTGCCAAAAAGAGGAGGTTTTGCGGCGAGCCGCTTGACTGCCTGCCTCCTTTGGCTCGGCCAAAGAGCTGCACTTTGTGTTTCGGGCGTGCTGATTGAGTGGACTATCCCATATAGACGCGATAATTGAGAATGCTCGACTGGAAATCAGTACTTAATTGCTGTGATTCGTTTGCATTTCTCAAGTTTCCGTTTCGCGTTCACTGCGATTGATTAAAGCCCAGTAGCTGCTATTATTGCTGCACATTCTCATCAGTCATCGAATACCCTACTTTTGATTCGAGTTGTTTTCAGATTAGAACAGCTGCAATTCGATAGCTTTGTTTATATTATTATTATATAGGCGAAGAAATTTGAGCTTTTCAAGCTTAATTATTAATAAATATTTATGTTTTTGGTTAATATTCACGTTGGTTTCGGCGAAACTACATCGCACCTTGTACTATATACATATTCTGTGCTCAAGCCTCTCATAAATATTTATACCTTTCGGTAAGCGATCATAGTTACTTCGAGAGAATTTCTACCCACTTTCAGCAGGCGATTGCCACTCGCCAACATCAAGTACAATTTCTTGGTTAATACAGCGGAGTACTTTCGTACGAATAACTACTCATTTTTATGGCAATTTGTGGTTTCTGGGAGAGGGCAGGAAGCTCAAGCAAAGCGAAAAGATTTCTCCGGTCAGATAATTCGAGAGATTTCCCTTCTCGACGCAGGGAGCTCGAAACTGCAGAAATCTCAGGGTTTTCTTGCTGATTTGCGCCTCTGCCACAACTCTCCTCGAAAGCCGAACATGCCCTCCCAATTTCCCTCGGGAGGGTTCGCAATGAATCACTTTTCGTGATCTGCAGCCGGCCCAACCCGTTTTCGCTGCTCCTTTCTTTGGGCGAGTGAAAAAGGCAGAAAGGGCATATCGAGTGCCAGACAGTCTCGAAATAAATCTCTCTGGCCGCTTCGTACGCTTTTTTGCACTTTGCATTTTATTTGAACGTATTTTTTGTTGTTAATTTTCTTTTGCTTTAATTGCTGAATGCGCTGAAAAAGGCGGCGACATCGAACCGCGAGACTCAGCCCGATCATTTTGGAAACTCATTGAAAAACGTTTTCGGTCAATGTGAATAAATTAAGTGGCCAGAAAAAAGTTAAGAGAATAATGCGAAATAGTGGACTTACCTTAGCGCCAATTTGGTTGCCGCACTGGCCGGCCTGCAGATGGACGATTTCTCTCATTTTCGGATCGGGATTTGTGGGTCAGAAGGCAAAGGCAAATCACTGAATGCGGCTGACTCTGGAAACGGAGCTCTCAATCTGATTTTGGATCTGAACCTGGAGGAGGATGCACCGCACAGTCCGAGTATCTTTGCTGGGTTTTAGAACGAAGGCGCAACTTCACCGCACAACGCACAAGACACAACTGATCGGCGGACCAAGACTCGAGTCCGTCGACGATGTTCTGGTGATTTTCAGCCGAGCCGCCTTGCGACTGGCGACTTGCGACTTGAGTGCCTGCCAACGCCGGCGGCTGAAGCGAGAGGCAAGATCACACACACAGCCGGCAGTGGCGCGCCGACACGCACACTTGTGCATGGAGTACAGTGGGGCGAACGCGAGCTCTTCAGTTCAAAAGCTCTTCACATGGCAACAGCAATTAATGTTCATATAAAAGAGAAAAGAAATGCAAGCACGATTTTTGAGTTATCCATTACTTAGTACCATTTTATAAATCTTTTCCTACCAGCAATACTGTACTAATTAATATTAATTATTCAAATAAATATATATAGAAGGTTTTTATATAACATCTAATATCTGTAATAATTAATTCATATAATCTTTTATTTATACATTCTGGAGTGAAAGTTCTGATTATTAAAGTCACTTATAAGTGAATAAAATATTTTATAGCAAACCCATAAAAATTGTACAACATGTTTCTCGAAACTCAAATTCTTGTACCAGAAATAAATGTCTCTAATTTTAGAGTTTCGAATGTTTTATGATTGGGCTGGAAATATACTCCGTGTGGAGGGGGCTTACTTTGGTAGGTCTCAAATCATTTTTGGTAATTGGAAAGTTTTTCCCAATCAGCGGAAGTTAATAAAAAGTTTTGCGAGCGGAATAAGTCACGATATACTCCATATGGGAAGCCCAAGACATGGTAAGTGCAAATCGGTGCAGCCTTTCGGTTTCACTATTAATTTTGACTTGGTTTATGTGCTGCCGTTCTGCCGAAGAAGAAAAACTCCCATTTGCTGGGGCATTAAGCTGTTCGTCTGGCACCCCGCCGTCGCTCTCCTGTTCCTAAGTTCACACATTTTTACGCTGTCAACTGCAGCGACTTTCACGTTCTAATTTTACCCAGCAGAATGCACAGGTATGCACTCAACCCCGACTCCTCCGTGTCCGCATCTATGTGCCTGAGTCCTATGCGAGTATGCACAAAATTCCACAAAAGTGTCACCGCAGTCATTAGAAATGTTTCGTCTTCTATACGTACATGTGTTCTCCGCCTGCCTTTTGGAACTCCTAATGCACTCGGGAAAACCGAGATGCAGGGTGCACGCTATTTTTGGACAGACTCCGCAGCGCTCCGCTCGGCTGCTGATTTTCCGACGCGCAGCTCGGCGATTGGGCATTGGGCAATGGGATCTGGGATCTGGGATCTGTAGAGGCGGCGTCGATTTCCCCGTTTCCTTGGAAATCAATCAATGCCCCGGCAGAGACAATTTGTAGTCGTTTTACTTTCTAATTGCATTCAAGTTGAAAGAGCAAGAGCAGTCCAAGAGCAAGCGGAAAACTCCGGCTGCTCAAGTGCCTCTGTCAGCCTATTTTCATTCCCTGGCAGCCAAACCGCAGAATTCACTTTAACTTCGATGGCAAAACAAGCATGGTGAAGCGAATCGTTTGCTCCGGCCGCACTTACATCCCGGCCTATCCGTATTCCCCCGCATTTCGTGTCCCTCAGTCTTGCTAAATTTAAATGCACCACAAAATAATCTCGAATTTACGAGCTGAATAGACAGAATGTTATACATTCATGCGCAACAAGAGAACTACAATCCGAACTATCAATGGCGACAATCGCTCGCCTTGCTGGAAAGGAGTGGGAGCACAGAGGACTCCGGAGCAGAGCGAACTTGTCCAGGTCTCTGGACCATCGGAGCATCGGACCATCGCACAATAAATGTGGATATTGCTGACATTTTTGGTTGGCCAAATAGGAATGGAAACGTGCGAAAAGGGCGTAGGATATAGTCAAAGGGTTCAAAAAAAAAGAAGTTGAATTAAACAACAACATTTCTTGAATAAATAAAGATCTGTTTCCTTAGTAATCACTTTTCATCTTAGTTCATTATGGAATACGATTTATTTTTAAAACTACCAGTGAACTCTGTTTCGAATAAAGGACATTAAATTAATATACTCCGCTTCGACATTAGGCATTTTCTATCATTTTCCGCGAGCTTAGAAGATTAGGCTGCCATCCAGGAAACTACATTAAAGCTTGTGAATAAAGAAGGACCCTGCTCACCCCCGAAGCGATTCAATCGGACAGGACTACGCTTATGGCGGCACACAAAGCTCACTCACACACACACACACACACCCACAGACCAATACCAACGAAAAGTGGTGGCCTGCATTTGCCCTTCGTCCTGCGTCCTGGACCCTCGCAAAAAGTAACAAATGTTTTTTTAGGATTTGTGTTTTGGGAATTTTTGCACTTGTGTAAATGTAAGCTTTGCACACGCACAAAAAACACCCACACGCACACAAAGAGCCACACACACACACTTGGGAAAAGTGTATATGTATCACAAAATTGTAGCCAGCATTTGTCTTTTTTCGTATTTGCGCATTACCATAGTTAAATTTATTCGCATAAAACATATATATATATATATATACATGGTTATATGTGCTTGTGCAACAGTGTAAATGTTATTATCGTGTTTACATAGTCGTCGGCAATTAGGTTTGATTGATTTGCCCGGACATCGAATATTTTAATTTCTTTTCCAACTTTTCATCTCTTAATTGCAATTTATAATTGGCATTTTAATTTCTGTTACTGACAAACCTTTTTGTTCTACACAACATTTTTATATGAAATTAATTTTGGATAATTGCATTCTGGTTTGCATATGTTTTTTTTGGCGTTTTGTCGGTTGCTTTTTGTGTCCGTTGGCAGCATTTTAATTGAACTTGATTGATTTTTGCTGATGTTGTTGATGGAAAAATAATATTGTTGTAAATCATAACAATTCCACCGGGGAGGTGGAAGGACCTGGGAGCTACACTTTTATCTGTGGACACAAGCCCCGAAGCTCACGGAAATCGAAAACAACGTAGCACTCCGCTTATGCACGCGGATAATTCAGTTAGCCAAGTACCCAACATGATTCGATGGCCATCAGGAGGCAATTAAACCAGTTGCAAGGGCAACTACTGCCGTAAAAAATTACATTGGCCTTTCATTAGAGTGATATGATGATTATTATGATACAGTTTTGTAGCGAAACTACTCACAAAGGTATACCATGTAAATATGTAAATATAATACGTTGTAACACCATTGCATTTTCAGCTTTTCTTTTTAATTTTCATGCCACTCAATAAGCTGTTTAAAGTGTAGTGTACTGCAAGGAATCTCTTCTGAACAATAGTAGAATTTTCATTTTATATCTCGAAACCAAAAGGATTAATTTTGTACATCCAGGGAAACAAAAAGTGTTCTCGCATTCCCTGAACCCTTTGAAAATATAGTTCGCCAATTTGTACCTCCGCTCCCTTCAATTAGCCGCCGCCGCAAAGTTGCAACTTTTGCTAGAAATTTATGCAACTAATTTTTCGCATACTTTTTTATGGAACCACCGCTCGCCCTTCGCAGAAACGAACGGCCAACATCTGCTGCTCCTAGTGGCCAATAGTTTTTGCTGCCAATTAGTTGTTTTAATTGCAAAAACGTTGCCAATTATGCAACACGAGGCGAGACAAGCAGCAACAAGCGCCTGCACCGATGAAATGACAATTTAATTGTTCTGCCCCCGAACCAATCTAAATCGCCCACCGCCCGAAATCGCGCATACGCCATGTGGCCGCTGGCCCAAATTGCCCGAGGAGTCCTTGCACCTTTCCATCGCCGACAGCCAATCTGGGGAATATATATCGCCTGCGTTTATGGACGAGCAGCCGCAGCAATTTCAATAAATCTTGGCAATGCCCTAAAAATATTAGCATAATAAAAGGCGCGACAACAAAACAGAAGGGTCAAGTCAATATCGGAGCCCCTGTGCGGCTTCCGGCGCATTTGGCACATTTACACAGGGCGACTGCGAGGCGGCAGCAGCTCCAAATTTATGTCAGCAACAAGCTATCGGGCCACTCCCCAAAACGACCTTAATACGCATAATTCGGGGGGCGGCGAGTGGGTGGCGCTGTCATATAATGTGCTGCAGGCTTCGATCAGCAATAAAAATTCAAATTTTGCACAGAGCGCACAAAAATGTTCGTTGTCAAGATAAATACCCTGCAAGCACGGGGTTGCTCCATTCCTGGAAGGTTTTGAAGGTGTAAAAAAGTGATTGGATTCTAAAAATAATGCATATAATATATCTTATATATTAAAAGGTTATACAACTTTTATCACTTCAAAAAGTAACTGGAATATTTGTATGTTTTCTGGCAGAATTCTCTAGGGTATTTAAACCCTGAGAGAATTGTTACTTTCTTCTACTGCCTTCTACTTTCTCGCATTAGATAATGTGTGCGATTGCAGGGATATGTAGATGTGGCTACTCGGCTACACATATAGTAAACATTATATTGCCTGGAAAAAATCGGCTCTCCGTTCGATTCAGCGCTGCCAAGTTGCCGCCTTCACATTTTTGCCAATTGGCCAACAAGTGTTGCCAAATTGCGTTGCGGTTGCTGGCCATAAATAACGGTACTTTTGTCATTTATACACATAAATTGCAGCAGACGCTGAAACGCGAAAAAAAGCCGGCAGCAACAGCCGAAAGCTTTTCCCGTAAGCCGCTGCAGGAGCGCCCGTTACTGGGCATGTTCGAAAAAAAGGAAAAGTCCATAGGCCTCCTGCTATTCGTCCAGCCAGGATGCCGGGATACCAGGATGGCATATCGGGATGCCGGGATGCCGGGATTCCAGGACACTCCAGCAGTGGCCCGCACTAACGACATCGGCGACACAACGCAGCTGTCGCTTGCCATTTGGCAATAATTGTTTAATATGCGGGCGCATAAAGCGGTCGCCCCATAAAAAACAACAACAGCGGGGGGGATTGGGGCAGCGCCAGCTGCCATTACACTGGCATTCGGAGTGGAATGGCTAAAACCCGGCAGAAAGCAGCTCTCACACGTGAGGGAGGACCTGTGGTCCACTGGAGCAGCTGTCACGTACTCCCTATCAACTCGCTTCGGGGAAACTTCCGGTTTTGAAAAGCCAATAGCCGGCTGAAGGGAACAGGAAAACTTCGAGAGCAGCAGTAATTGCGTTACAAAATGCCAATGCCGATTGAGATTTGAGGCGCCCCAAAGTATGCAGCTCCGACTGCCGACTGCGGACTGCAGTTAATTACAAAACTGTCAAAGCCAAAAGGTGCCACGAATCAACGGGCTCTCAGAGGAGGCGGTGCAGGGGAAAGCGAGGCATAAGCCAAATAGGCAGATCAGCCAGGGAAATTCGCAGGGAAAACAAACAAAAAACAAACAAACAAGGGGCCATGTGTGCTTTGGCTGCATTGTGTGCGGACTTTTGACGCTCCTGCATGTGAAATATAATTTTGCCGTATTGTTGTATTAAATGATGTCAACAACAGCCGTCCAGCTGAGTTGGAGCCGGCAGCCGAGTCTCCAGCAGTCGAATGCCCGCCCAAATCGAATTTAATTGCATTGCCGCCGCACGTTGGCTTTTAATTAATTTTTGCTGCCTTCTGCTGCCGTTTCTACTGCTGTTTCTGCTGCTGCTGCTGCTATTGCTGTTGCTGTTGCTGTTGCTGTTGCTGCTGCTGCTGCAGCTCAGTCAGCGCCCCAAAAAGGCCAAAATCAAACAAACTAAGCGCACACACACTCCGACCAACAACAAACAGCAGCGACAGGCCAACATCAAACGTCATGCACAGGTGCAATGTAATTAGCACGAACTGACAAAGCTCCAAGGACCAAGGACCAAGGGAGGAGGGCTGGGTGGTGGGTGGTGGCCAGAGGGCGGTGGGCGGCACTTGGCAGTGGCAGTATGAAACATAAAAACAAAAGCAAGCAAAACCTTTAAGCCCAAATGCATACAAGCAAGAGCGGAGCGATACAAACCAATTCAGGCAACGGCGGCAGCAATGGCAGCGATGGCAGCAGCCACAGCAAGTGGCAGTGGCAAAGCCAGGACAAAAAGGACGAATGTTGAGGTACTCTAAGTGAAAGTATAAAATATATAATAAAAAAAATATATACGTCCTGTGCATTTCATTAAATGATTCCTTGGAAATGTGCATATATATCGTTTGCTTATATAGTCCATTTTCTAGCTCAGAAGCAACCTAAATGAGTGAACTTAAAAATGTTTTCTTTTCTCTTAAAGCTTAAAGAATAGATAAAAAAATAAAATAAATATAATGAGGAACCAACATTGATTAAACATTAGTTATAAAAACGAAAAAGCCTAGAAGTAGGCCATGAAAATGTGGGATTCTTCAACTTACCATGCAGGCTTTCTCTGCTCGAGAATTTCCCGGAAAAGCTAGCGTTCCCAATCCCAGATTAAGGCGGGCAATCAATTTGGAATACCCCATTTCGGCAAGGGTAATCGGGCGAAGGGCAGCCGAAGAGGGGGAGTGGAGGCGGAAGCACTGGTGCCCGTTTGGTCGTAGCTCCACTGGCAGCGTTTTAATAGCTTTGGAATTCCAATGGCAGCTGTGGCGCCGTCGCCGAGCCACCGGCCTTAGCCACCCGCCACCCACCAAACACCACCCACCGCCTTTCTGTCCACCCGAAAGCTTTCTAAATGAGCCCAAAAAGGAGCAGGACGCAGGACAAAGGACGAAGGACGAAGGAGGCAGGCAGGACGAACAGCGCACAATGGCAGCGACCGACGTTCTTGTCGAACATTTCGAAAAATTATTGAGAAATTTTTAATTTTCCCACTTACGCAGGCCAGGCGCACGCGAAGTTACAACTGCAACAACACAGGACGAGAACGGGAGCAACAGGAGCAGCAGCAGCAACAGCAACAGCAACAACAGCAACAACAGCAACGTTAGTGTTGCATGTTGGTGTCAGCTGCACTGGCTGCTCCTGTTGTTGCTTTTATTGTTATTAGCTATGCGAGCGTATTCATGCACTTCTGCACCCACAACTGCCATTTTGTTTATGACATCGACGATGGCACCGCGAAAAGGGCGTAGAGCGGGGGGCGTGGCACCGGGGGAGTTTGGCAGCTGCGGCAGCTGCCACTTTATGTGGCATTTTCGGCATACGTCTCTTACATTGTGTGTTGCACAGAATCCGAAGAAAAATTCGGGTTGTTCTAAGTCTCAATTAGTTCGTAGGGATAAGAAAGGACAACCTGCAACTAGCCTTTAGAATATATTCTAGGGAAAAGATTTGATTCTAAATTGGACTTTTCCTTTTACCAAAAACCACTTTTGGCCATCGAAAAACCTTTGGCAACCCAAAGGAAGGAGCAACATTGCCACTTTCAGCCACTGCGAAATGGCACCCAGCTTTGTTTGCCATTTCTTCGTTTTTTATGATTGCCTGCCACAACTTTTTCGCCATCGACATCGACATCGATATTGGTGGCCCATCGACGATGCCTCGATGCTGCGATGTTGCGTTGCTGCGATGCTGGGCTGCTGCGGTTGCAACCTCCTGTTGTTCTTGGCATTGTTTTGTATGGATTTTGCACATCGTTTATCTTAGGCGACGGCCAACGGAGTCGCAGCTGCCTTTGGCGAGCGGAAATGGCGTTAATGTTGCAGCAGCAGCAACAGCAGAAACAGCAGCAACTGCAAAAGTAGCAACTCGCCTCCGCCGCGCGAACTGCGGGCTGCAGCAGCTGCCAATGAGCGAGAACTTAATCTTGGGGATTTAACACTTTCGATATATCTTGTGGCGGTGCAGCATCTTCTGGCCGTAAAACGTATTGGCTCCCATTATCGGTTAAGCTGCCATTTTATGGCCAAGAAACGCGCCCGGCTTTCCTCGAGCTTTCCCTCGCGCGGCGAAACAACTTCATCACTGGTGCTTCTCTTTTGGTATCAGTCGTTGTTAAAGCATTAAAAATAGATTGGGGCTCACAAACATTTCGCTATATGCACCCAGAGGAGTGGCTCACACATCTTGGGGAGGGTGTTGCCCCATCAGAGGCCCGCCTTCCCGGAGAGCAACGCCTCGAACTGCTCCTCGCTGAGCGGCCGGTAGACCCCGTCCCGGTTCAGGTAGTAGACAGGATCGGAGAGCTTCCTGATGTCGTAGCCCTCCTGGGCCAGCTCCCGCTTCTTCAGCTTGAAGGTGGCCGTGCGCGGGATCTCGTCCAGCAGCCGGATGAACAGGGGGCGGGCGTAGGTGGGCAGGCTGCCCCGCAGCACCACGGACAGGTATTCCATGTCCACCTTGCGGCCGGGATCCACGATCGCGGCCATTCCCGCCTTGCCCTCGACATGGGGGATCTGCAAGATAAGCGGGTCGATAGTGAAAATCAAGGCGTGCCTAGGGTGTTATCTACTTTTTAAGGTGTCGCGGTGACTAAGTGCGATATGGGTAGTTCCCTTGGCCAAACTTGGGAAACTGAAAGCCAGCATATGTATGCTCTGTATGATGTATGATCAGTTCCAATTCAAATAAATAGTAATCAAAACAAGATTTCTTTTCGGATCTATGATACCCAAAATAGTAATACTAAGTTGAAGATAAGCTAGTAGAATAAATGGAACTAAGTTTCAATGACAAAAGAAAGGCTCTTTTAGAAGAAGTTAAATAGACCTTTTCTATGATGCAAAAGTAACTCTTCTGTTCTATAGGTGTTCAAATCTTATGATAGTAATGTGTTACTAAGGTGACTCACCTGCACCCCGTAGACCACGCAGTCCTCGAGACCCACGCAGTTCGTGATGATGGCCTCCACCTCCTGGGTGGCCACGTTCTCGCCCCGCCAGCGGAAGGTGTCGCCGGTGCGGTCCTTGAAGTAGAAGTAGCCGAGGATGTCGCACACCACCATGTCGCCGGAGTTGAAGAAGACGTCTCCGGGGGCGAACACGTTCCGCAGCAGCTTCTGCTCGGAGGCTCCCTTGTCCGCGTACCCGTGGAAGGCGCTCACCGCCCGCCGGGCGTCCACCTTTCCCACCAGGAGGCCCGACTGGCCCGGCTGGCAGCGGATGCAGTGGCCCTTGGAGTCCTTGATCAGCTCGCCCGTTAGCTCGTCGCAGCGGAGCACCTGCACGGGATAGAGCCTCAGGCCGTAGACGGGGACGAAGCCGACGGCGCCCACGCGGTTGGTGATGTTGATCAGGTTGGAGTTGCCCTCGGTGGCGCCGTAGATCTCCCCGATCTGCGGGATGCCAAACCGGCGGACGAACTGCGACCAGATCTGCGGCCGCAGCCCGTTCCCGTACATCAGCCGCAGGCTGTGCTTCATCTGCTCGGGGGCGTAGGGCGTGGCCAGGAGGTAGCGACACAGCTCCCCGATGTACTGGGCCACGGTGCAGTTGTGGCGGTCGCAGTCCGCCCAGAAGTTCCTGGCCGAGAACTTCCTGCGCAGCACCACCGTGGATCCGTTGAGGATGGCGTTCCCCACTCCCACGATTCCTCCGGCGGTGTGGTAGAGGGGCAGGGGGTTGTACACCACGTCCTCGCTGCGCATCCGGAGCATGTAAAAGGAGCCGGCGGACATGAACAGGAACCGCAGGTTGGTGATCACCGCCGCCTTCGGAAGCCCCGTCGTTCCGGAGGTGTAGACGTAGAGCAGCTTGGAGCGCGCCTCCTCGGGAGACCTGGAGCTGGGCAGCTCCAGCTTCTTCTGGGCTCTCAGAGCAGTGCTGAGATCCACGGCACCAGGCAGGAGCTCCCTCGACTCCTCGCCTTCGAACTGGAAGACCGGAATGTGGGCCAGTTGCTCCTTGTCTTTTAGCGATTTAAACACATCGAGGAGTTCGCTGCCTACGATTATGGCCTTGGCATTGGCCACGTTGACGCAGTGGAGCAGGGACTCGCCCCGCAGGTTGGAGTTGATGAGGGCGGTGATGACGCCCAGCTGGGAGAGGCCCAGCCAGAGGCAGGGGTACTCCACGCGGGTCTCCATCAGCAGGGCCACGCAGTCGCCCTTCTGCAGACCCTGATCCTTGAAGAAGCCGGCCACCTTTTGGCTGAGCTCCAGGGCCTCCGCGAAGCTCAGGCGGCGATCGTCCATCACGAAGCAGGGCTTCTTCGGGTGGGTCCTGGCCTGCTCCTGGAAGCAACGCGCCACGGTGAATCCGCCACGATCCCTCCTCAGCAGGTAGACATTGAGGGCCACGAAGCGCTGCAAGGCCCTGCAAAGGGAAGCCGAGTTAGAAGACTCCCTTGCCAGGCATCTCTTACCCACTTTAAATCCCTCGAGGCGGTCATCACCAGGGCGAAGACGAAGGTGGGGTTCCGCAGGAGGAGGGCCACCACTGCTCCGAGGGTCAAGCTGGCCAGGGCGTTGTTATAGCAGCAGCTGGCGAAGACCAGCGTGGCCAGGAGGAGGGTGCCCAGCCGGGTGGCCAGCTTCTGCTTGAGGTTCAGCTCCAGCAGGATCTCCATCTTTCCTTCGCCAGCCTGCTCCTGCTCCTGTTCCTGATCCTGCTGGCGATCCTGATCTTCCAGGTCCTCGTTCCCGCTCACTTCGAAGGGCAGGCGGCAAAAGCAAACATGGTCGAATTAGAAAGGCAAAGGGACGGGTTCGAGTGATCTGACAGCGACAACTACAGATAGCTACGTTCTAACCGAGTGGAATATGTTTTCCGATTTCTCCGACTCTCCGATTCCCCTTCCACTTGCGCCTAGGGCAACCGACTGGGAGCGACTGAGTGATAAGCGGAGTGGGCGAGTCCGATACCGATTCACTATGTCGTTTGTGGGTCGCAAGTCGCGAGTTGTTATCACCCGCCATGAGCACTACGAGTGGCTCCCAAGGGGGGACTGTGGGGGTCTCAAGTGCGAAAATCCCAGGTGTGCACCGAAAACATTTATCAGCTCACAAGTAGAGCAACATCATCGAGCGGGAAAGGTGGAACAACTAGATTGGATAAACAGCTGTGGCAACTGTCTGCAATCACAATTGTACTTTGAAGCATTGCAATACCCTTATTCACACGACTCCTATAAACAAATTATTCGAGGCCAGTTAACTTCAAAATAAACCATATTTTAAGGCCTAAAAAAGGCACCAAGTTTTTGTGAGAAAACCACTAATTGGAGGAGTAGGAAAGTATACTTTTACTTGCATAAAAAATAGGTTAAATATATAATCTTTCATGCGATGCATTTAAAAAATTTACACGGTAAAAGGCTAATTATTTCACCCGAGTGCCAGCCAGCATTTACGACCTGAGCTAATGCCTTTTTTATAGCGACGCCATCACATTGGAGGGCCGCCTGCACGGAAATTTTTGGATCACTAGGTACACTCGACCATAATCTCTGTCACAAGTGGAGCCCCTAGAGCTTTATCAGTCCGTAACAACTTTGGTACAGGGTGAACCTGCCCTGGCGCAATGAACAGCTGATATCGCAGCGACTGGCTCTTTGTTTTGCCGGTTTATCGCGAAAGGCGCCAAACAATGGAAAGGTGGCCGGAACAGAACAGAACACTTGGGGCACCTAAGGCAGTCACCCGGTAGATCGAAACTATAAAACATATTAAACTATGTAATGTAAAAGTTGTAATCGCAGAAGCACGGGTTAGGAAAGCTATCAAGTGACGCGTCGGCTTCAAAGTTCATTGCTACTTGCGATTATGCCGACATGAGGGGGCGGGGGAAGGGGGTCTATCTCTACAAGTCGGGCTTCCATCGCAGAGGCAATGTTATGTGGCGTCTATGTTGGGGACCTTGACTTATTCCGTATGCCGGGCACAGAGGTTTAATGTCGGTTCTGCGCACACGCTGTTCTTGGCACCGGTTACGTCGGTTTGACAATGAGAACTACTAACTGCTAACCATTTACATGGCTCTATTATTTTTTCTGACTGTCACCCACGATCAGGGTAATTCACTTTTCAATGTCGCCTCGGCGCCCCCATTTGACATACTTTTTTCGCACGGTCACCAGCGGTTCTCTGCACGGAAAGCAACAACAAACAGATGTGGATAGAGATATAGAGCGAGTGATCTGAGCACTCGACGCCGGATCGTAGAAATAACTGGCGCTGCCGTTGGGAGCTGGTTTTTATACCCCAGTCGAGAGTGTTGGGGCTTCGGAGAGAGTCTATATAGTTGCGAAGAATCCAGAGAGACGGAGAGCGGCTGAGAGCTAAAAAACAGCCTCCACAACTTTTTGCAAATAGCAAAAGTCGGAGATCTCCGCCGAAAGCTGTAAGGTTAACAGCGCGAAGAAAAACAATAGTATTCATAACATACTAAATTAATGCAAAATACATCGAAACACTTCCCAATAACCATAATAAAATAATCAAAACAAATATTTGCACGCTAATTGAAAAAAATAATCTTAAGTACTTAAATGAAAAATGCAAAGAAATCAAATACTTTAAAACCTATTTAAGCGATAATGGGTGCACTATGTTTTCCTTCCTCATAAACTATCGTAGCTTAAATTAAATATTTTACTATTTAAATACGTAGTCATAGAACATTTAGAAATTCGAAACCCTCTCCAATCGAAATTCCTTCGCGAAGTCAAAAGTCGACCCACTTAGCAGTCGCCATTCCACCTGTTACAGCGATTTGAAATTTTTAATTAAGGATTTTTACTCGCGACGAAAACAAGGCTGCGAAGTAATTTCCCCGCTTTCTCCTTCGCTCACACCAGCAGAGGAAAATGCTGTGTGAAAATAAATTAACATAGGACGGCGCTGCTCGCGTCGACGTCGACGCCGGCGTCGCTTAGCTGTCAAATGCCGGCAGCACAAATATAAAAAATATGTGCATACTTTCGGGCGGCGCATATAAAAAATGTGCGCATACTTTTTGGCAGCTTTTTGAGTTATCGACGGTGTGAGAGCGAAACTAAGTGAGCGCATATGCATGTTCTGGTGTGTGTGTGTGTGCTTGGGTGTGCCTGTGTTCGTGCGCCGGCTGTTCCTGCCGTTCTCTGTGTGTGATTGTAAGTGTGTGTGTGTGTGAGGATGCCTGTAATTGACACATGTTACGCGCACAAAAGCCTGCGACCCGGGGCTCAGTCCATCGTTATTATCGACAATGGCGCCGCCGAAAACACACACACACACCCACAGCCCTGCACACACCACCTCTCCCGGTCGCACACCCTCGCCCCCTCTAGCTCTCCCTCGCTCCCTTTGCCCTGTTATCCTGGACTTCCTTCATGCCGTCAGATGCCTTTGCTGCACAGCCTTCAAATGCAGGCTCGCAGACACGCAAACTGGCAGCCTCAGTCAACTTTGTTTGTAGCCGGCGAAAACAAAAACACAAACACACACATACACACACACACACATACACACACAGGAGAGGCCCAGAAGCAGGCTTACCCACACAGATAAGGAAAGAACGTGGAGAGTTGCGGCTGTTGGATATCCTGTTGTAAGGAAGTTAAAATATACCTAAATCCCTTTGTATAATATACAATATCCCTTTGTATAATAAATCGTTAAAGGTTCCTAAAAACTGCAAGTTTCGGTTATAATAAAAATAAGCACATCAATTTTAGTTTTTTCCATCAAAAAAAATTAAACTCTTGACCAATACCTTGGCACATGTTAAATTTAATGCCTGGTTGAGCTTTTAATAACATTTCTAATCGGTTGGCATTCAAATCTATAAAAAAAAATTTTTGGAAAAAAATTTTCAAAAAATTATGATGACACCCCTTTCAAAAATGTGAAAAATCACCAAAATTTAAATTTTTTGAGACGATCCAAAAAATGACATGGATTGATAGCCTAGGTTATTAGCTGTATATGTCAGAATTTTAGTTGTAGGTCCCATTTTGGATGAGTTATAGAGAAAACTCTTTGATAGAGGTACTCTTCTACCGAAAGTGGTATTTTCGTGGCATGAACTCCAACGAGTCCAGCATACCCCAAACTCCTACGACTGCTGGGTATGAAAACAGACCCACACAAATTCACCGGCACAGCCGCTTGCTGATAACGTTAACGTCAGCTGTGCGGCACTTTGGGCCACACGTGAGCTCTGGGTCTGGTTCAGGGCCAAAAGGGGGTGGCCAAGGGGGAAGGGGAGGACGTTGGGGGGCGGTGAAGTCGTGCGCAGGCAAGCGTCAAACGGTTTGTACCTTAAACCCCCAGGCGACGGCATCCTTGCCGCTCCCCCGCTCCCTGTGTTTGGCATTTGTTTGTGTTGTCAACAAAAGTTTCTTTGAAATCAGTAACAGATGTCGATTGAAATGGCACAATTGCTGCCAGCTCGGCAGTTCAGCAGCCAGGCAGCTCGCAGTTCGTAGCTCGCAGCTCGGAGCTCAGCAGCTCTGTAATGTCGAGCAGCGCCGGGTGGCCGCCACTTATGCTGAATATTTTTATGCCAGACGCACACACAAGAGGTCCTGGTCCTGGCCAAGATATCCGGCGAGCGGGCTCATTGTGCGCTAGTTGCCTGTCACATTTTAATTAAAATTTCAGCGCCCAAGTTTTAATGTTAATGCATTGGCATCGATTGGAGCTGGAAAACAATACACCGCGGGTGAAGGGAGTTTCGAGAAGGGGAGAGGGGGTGAGTAAACATTACTACATTTGGCGGAATGGAATTTGGCAATACTCCATGGGACTTGGAAAGTATTTTCTTGGATCCACGCTTGAATAAAACCAAACCAATTTGTATAAATATTCTCTGGTAAAATACATTTGAAATAAGGATATTGGAGGTAGTATCTATTATAATGAAGACATCTGAGGACATCTCAATCCTGATCTGAACAGACTCCTGAATATGTTTTAGCTTACTTACTTCATGAGTAGCTAACCTAGATGAGAGATTGTATTTTCTATGAACTGATTGCTGAATCTGCAGCTTAGCTTCATCCCGTATCTATCGCAGTAAAGGACTCGCAGGGCATCTGCGCTTCGGCAGGAGCCAGGACATCCCTCTTCCGCGTCGCTCCCCTGTTGACAAGCTGCTTTCAGTGGGAGTTCGAGGCTTTGGGTTTTGGCTTGTGGCTGCTGGCGATAACAAACGATAACTGCATGTTAAATAGAAGCCAGCGAAAGGCTAGTCGGCACAAAGGGGTAATCGAGTGGCCAGTGGGGGGTGGGGAAAGGCGAAAGGGGAGTAAAAGAAGGGGAGTCCCCGGGGAGATGGGAACGAAGAGCTGAGAGCTGGACGTGCAGCCATTTGAATGCTCAGCCATCTCGCTCCCAACCGGAAGTGGCAAGTGGAGGGTGGAAGAGGGGAGGGGGATTGCAGGTGGGCTTTGGGAAATCACTCAGGTAGCAAATGCCACCATCATCATCATCATCGTCGTCGTCGTTGTTGTTGTTTTAGTTGTAGTTGTTGTAGTTGGAATTGTTGTTGGGCGAAGGGTTGCAAAAAAGCGCACAGCATCTAGACAAAGGCGAAGTTAAGGCAAGCTGCCGTCTGTCTGCCTGTGTGTGTTTGTGTGTGTGGAGGGGTGTGCAACAAATGTTGTGGGTGTCCTTGGGGCAGGGGGCGTGGCAAGTGGCAAGAGGCAGGGGAGCGGGGGCGTGGGCTAACGAGCTTTTACTTGCTAGCTTGCAATGCGACAGCAGCAGGTGTGCCATACATGCACGCAACCACACACTCACACACCGACACAGACACACTCGTCCTGGCACACACACACACACGCACACAGGCAGTCGCAGGACACAGCTGAGTGACGATAATTGAAATTTCATCACAGTAGTTTGTGGTTTTGTAGCACACTCAGTCGCACACTCACCCACACACACACTCGCACACTCTCGCACCCACACTAATGCGCTTTTCATGGCCTTCTTTTAGGCTGCCAATCGAAATGTTATTCCCCAATTCGCATTTAGGAATCGCACCGTTCTCGTTTGGTTTGGTTTGGTTTAAAACACTTTATTTCTTGGGTTTCTTTGTCGCAGCCTTGCAGCCTTGGTTTGGGTTTAGGTGTAAGTAACATTTACTCGGTATTCGTTTATGATAAAAGTACATTACGCTTTAGTTTAGGGAGTACAATAAATACTAATCAATAAATTAAACTCGCTCAATAAATTAGCCATACTCGTAATCGTAATCATATCCGTAGTAATATACTGTATTGTATGAATAAAATCTACTATGTTCAGTTTTGTTTTTACTCGCTTTGGGTTGCTTACTTACAGAACTTTACTGATTTACTGATTTGCTGATCCAATTGAATTTGATGGCTTTAGTTTTACTTGCTTATGTAATCTTTAATAGCGTGCACATATCGTTACGTTAATAATATTTATGTATCTTCTGTAGCTTGTGAAGGTGCCGATGGTAAATGGAATTCCGTACATTAAGTCACAGGTTGAGAATCGAAGGATAAGTTCCTTAAAAAGTACATTTGAGTGAATTAAGTTATATATCTTTATCCTTTACTTATACCCTTCGACCCGATCATTAATGGTTAGCTGTTTAAAACATTGAAGTGTGTAAACTCTAGACAAAATGCACATCGATCTGTATCTATTTATGAGTTCTGGATGTCGGGCATCCCCTAGTATTCCGTGTCTTTAGCGACGATGCTCCTCCGTTTTTGGTTTTTGGATAACTCTATATTAGCTGCATAACTTTAAGTGTGTGTATATGTTTGTGGTTCACCCCCCTCTAATTTGACTAGCACAAGTACTTCTTCTTGGGTTTCATCATGCGAATGCGTCATTTGGAGCCCAACCCGTTGGCCACCAAAGCGCCCGGAGTTGCGGCGGCCACAGCGACCGACGAGGCTCCTCCTCCGCCGCCGCCGCCTCCTCCTGCTCCCGCGCCGCCTCCTCCTCCGCCGCCTGCTGCACCGCCTCCCGCCGGTGCCACTCCTCCGGTCACTCCTGCACCAGGACCTCCCACTGGAGCGCTGACCGCCTCCCGCGCTCCCGCCGCAGCAGCCGCCGCTGCCACCGCCGCCGCCTGCAGGTGGGCGGCCGAGTTGGGAGTGGGCGGGGACCTGGTGGCCATCGCACTGCGCAGGCTGCTGGCCGAGTGCAGGTGCTTGGCGCTCAGCTCGCTGGCCCGCGAGTTGCCGCACACCTGCAAGGAACACACAGAAGAAAACCCCATTAAAATAGGATAAATAAATAAGATAAAATCAGGAATCGAAGTTGAAGGTATTCAATTCCCTTAGGTTATAGGAAATGGGGTATAACGAATCTCCATTTTACAAAGTTTCATTAATAAACTGCTTATGAAACCCACCTGGTGGTGACTATCCCAATCTCTGTACTGACACGAGGCGCTGCAGTACCGCGCCATGTTGCAACCGGAGCAGGTTTCCGTGGCCTTGCGACCGCAGTTCCAGCACTGCTGCTGCAGATTGCTTCCCTGAAAGTGGAGGAACAACTAAGTACACACCATCCGAACAACTCTCCTGGGTGTACCTACATTCTGGGCTGTGGCCATCGAGGGCGACTTGTTGTCCAGATCCCGCTCGCCGCTGGAGTGCCGGCTCATCTCCATGAAGAACTTCTCCATGCGCAGGCGCTCCTGGGTCATGATCTCTGCCGCCCGGGTTTCGGCGGCCACCACTGCCCGCTGGATTTCAATGACTGCTTGGCGTTTCACCTGGAAATTGAAGATGCAACAATTAGATTAAAATTTATATACAATTCATTAATATCAAATGAATATTGTTAAAGTAAAATATTATTAAATATCCTATAATTAAATTATAAACATTGAGAAATTTCTTTGCAACCAACATGGTTTTTTTGTAAGTATTTAGATGGACTGCTCACCTGGGTGATTATATATATAATTCACTAATATTAAATGAATATTGTTAAAGAAAGATATTTTTAAATATCCTATAATTAAATTATAAACATTGAGAAATTTCTTTGCAACCAGCATGGTATTTTATAAGTAATTTAGATGGACTGCTCACCTGGGTGATTATATATATAATTCATTAATATTAAATGAATATTGTTAAAGAAAGATATTTTTAAATATCCTATAATTAAATTATAAACATTGAGAAATTTCTTTGCAACCAACATGGTTTTTTTGTAAGTATTTAGATGGACTGCTCACCTGGGTGATTATATATATAATTCACTAATATTAAATGAATATTGTTAAAGAAAGATATTTTTAAATATCCTATAATTAAATTATAAACATTGAGAAATTTCTTTGCAACCAGCATGGTATTTTATAAGTAATTTAGATGGACTGCTCACCTGGGTGACGGCGTCCTCGGCGTTCCGCTTGAACTCGGCGACCTTCTCCTCGGTCTGCCGGCGCAGCTCGGCCATGGCCGCCGGGGTGACCTCCTGGCCGCCGCTCGGGTGCTGCGGCTCGATGCCCCGCTGCTGGAGGATCGTGATGGCCCGCTTCGTCTTGTCCACCATCGCGGATATGCAGTTGAGCATGGTGTGGATGTTCTTCCACTCCTCCTCGCCGCCGCCCGCACCCGCTGCTCCTTGGGCGGCCGCATTCGGATTGGCGTTGGGGTTCGGGTTGGCGTTGGGATTGGGATTGCCGGGATTGCGCTGCGGCGGAACGGCGTGCCTGGCCTGGGCCTCGCTGAGCCGCAGATCCCGCTCGTCGCGCTGCATGAAGGCCGCCGCCGCGGGCAGTCCCTCGGCGGAGGTGACCCCGTAGTCGCCGTAGGCCACCACCGAGTGGGCGGGGTGGAGGGTGAGCCGCTTGGGCGGCGGGTAGCCCGCCCCGCCGCTGGCCATGTACTCGCTCCACTCCTGCAGGCCGTTGTGGCCGCCGTGCTCCATCATGGAGTCCGAGGAGCGGCGCTTGAAGACCGCACTGGGACCTCCGTTGGCGGCGGGCGCTTCCAGCTGGACGAAGATGTCCCCGAACTCGGCGCTGGCCACTCCGTGGGGGCGAACTCCATCACGGCCTGCTCGTTGTTGGTCACGTACTGCAGGGCGGACTGGTTGGTGGCCCTGGCCAGGGCGAGCACCTCCCGCTGCACCAGCGCAATGCTGTTCTTCAGCAGCGGCACCACGTACGGCCGGAGCGGCAGGTTGATGGCCTCCTGCAGCGCCAGCCGGAACTCCTCCACGGAGATGCTGCCGCAGCACAGGGGAGAGCACCAGGGCCCGCACCCGCTCGCTCACCTCCGGCTGGCCGAGCTCCTGCGAGAACTGGACCAGCGCCCCGAGGAACTTCCTCATCTTGGCGACCAGCCGCGCCTGCTCCACGTGGGCGGCTGCTGCGGCGGCGGCGGCTGCGGCGGCCAGGGAGGCGGCATGCTGTCCGGCGGGCACGGTGGGCGTGGGCGAGGTGCCCGAGGAGCCCACGGAGGAGCCGTTGACCACCGGCGAGACGCTGGCCGTGCGCTGCGGCCGCTGGTGGAGCTGCAGCGGGGAGTGCGGCGAGCGGGGGGCCAGGCTGCGCGAGCTGTCCGGCGGAGAGTCCGGCGGAGTGCGGCACAGGCGCTCCCTCTCCCGCTCCCGCTCCCGCTCCCTGTCCCGCTCCCTCTCCCGCTCCCGCTCCCGCTCGCCCCTGCTGCTGCAGGATGTGTGTGTGGTGCCGTCCTTGCTGCTCGACGAGGAGGAGGAGCTCTTGTCCCCGCCGCTGCTGCTGGCTGGAAGGATACAAAGAAGGAGGAGGAGGCGGAGGAGGAGGATTAGTGGCATGTCGGGGCTCGAACAAGGCGAACAAGGCGAACACGAGCGAGTCCAAGTCGGAGACCAGGACAGGATGTGCAGCCCGGGCGCATTACAAATGCATTAGCAGAAACCAAAGGAAGGGGAAGCCGAGCGGGATCGGAAATATATGTGCCGCCTAACCACAACAAGCTACATCACCATGGCACTACTACAGCACTACAGCACTTGTCCCACAGATCTGGCCAGTACACACAACAAACTACACACTACACACTACACTACTGCTACACACTGCTCAGCAGACCAACTGCCGGCATTAACAAATTTGTTTGAACATGGGAAATAAATTAGCAAACATTTTTGGCCCTGCGAAGTGTGTGCTGTGTGGTTTGGGCCCAGTCAGGCAAGCAAATCAAGCACCACATAACGCACTAATTGCAAGGACTGCCATCGGGTGGAGCAGGAGCTGGATGGATGGGTGGTTGGGTGGTTGGCTGGTTGGATGGGTTTATAGATGGGGCAACACATTGCGGTACGTGCTGTCCCATCGCATCCACTTCCACGTCCACATCCACATCCACATCCATGATCCTGGCAGAGCGATGCTGTAGCTCAAAAATGAAAAGCTTAACGCAAATCCGCAGAGCGCAGCTGGACGGAGAAGCTGCTGGGAAACTGATTGTCAGGCGACGAAAATTGTGGAACTAAATTATAAATAGTAGCTCGGAAAAGTACTTCAACTCAAATACAAAATAAATTATAAAATAAGTATAATGAGGTGCCCAAAAACGTGTTTATAATTTATTAATGTTTTTCAATACTAATTTTTTTTTGATTTAGGAAATGTTAGTATTTATTTACAACAATATATGTGAGTAATGCTCTTGATTGCTTTGAATTCACTAACATTAGTAGATTGTTTGGTTTTAAATAAAAGTAGAAAAGGTTTTTGTGACACAAAACAAATGAAAAGACTTGCGACGCACTCGTCGCCTGTGCGACCAAACACACACAAACTTTGTTTGCACAAGCTAATGGAAATTGTTTATGGGTGTGGGTCGCCGGGTTGCTGGATTGCCGGGTTGGTGGGTTGGTGCGATGGTGGACTGGTGGGTGGATGGATATGTGGGTGGCTGACAGACACTGTGGGTGGCGAATGTTGCTGATGACCATGATGATGAGGACGATGATGACGACAACGACGATGGGAATGGCAGTCAGTTGATGTTGCCGCTGCTGCCACTGTTGCTGCTGCTGTTGCTGCTGTTGCTGTTGCTGTTGCTGCTGTTACTGTTGCTGCTGTTGCTGCTGCTGTGCGGCTGCTGCACAGTTTGCTTTTGTGATAATGATTGTGGATACAGCTGCAACTGGCTGTGTTTTCACAGCCATTCAGGCACGCCACCGCCATGCCAATCGAAGGGCGAACATCCACCCACCCAACAACCCAACCATCCAGCCATCCAACCATCAAACCACCCAACCACCCGGGAACCCAAGCAAGCCGAGCAAAACGCCACCAGAACGGAGGACACATGGAGGGTCGCAGGCATCAGTCAACCGAGTCGGCGGCTCTTATCAAACGCCAAACATAGACAATGATGGATCACAGGCTGTCCTCCGGGGCAGCCCACTTTTCCTGGCTTAATTGGCCAGCATTGCCACATCAGCTGGCTCCCCCTCTCCGCCGTCGGGTACAATTGTAAAATATTGCACTTGACCGGGCTTAAAAGTTTCGGTTTGTTTGGCTTTGGTCCTGTTGTGGGAAAGCCTCAACTGCTGACCCAAAGTTTGGTGTCCGAGCGGCAGCTGCTGCCAAGGAGCCCACGCAAAACCGAAAAACTATTTACGAAAATTTTGTGTTGACAATTCACATATTTTCTAAAACATAATGTTTTTGGGGGAGGAGGGGCAAGGAGGGGGAGGAATGGGCACCAGAACGAACTGCTGGTCCAACATCATGAGCTCCCTCCATCGATTTAAGGTTACGTATACGCAGCGTGGTCCTGCATCTCTCTCTCTGTGTGAGTGTGTGTCTCGCCTGTGTGTTTGCCAGTGTGAGTGTGTGTGTGTGTATCTACTTCTATGTGGGCAACAGAATTTGCACAGCTGCGTCCCATAGATTGCAGTCGAGCGCACAAAACGAAACGTTGGCAAGTTTAGTTTGTTGTTGCTGCTGTTGTTGCTGCTGCTGCTGCTGCTGCTGCTGTCATTGATGTTGCTGTTGCTGTTGCTGGCATAGTCATTTGGGAAAACAATCATTTTGGCAAATATTCATCATGCACTGCTTCTGATTATCATCGGGCGAGGGGGAGTGTGGGTGGGAAGGGGGGCAGACTCCCCGCCACCCGCAAAATGCTAATTGCTGGTGAAAAGGAAAGAAATTCAAGCGACTTAAATGCTGGGCCACACATCATTGGCCTGGGAACTGGCGCAGGTAGCACTGCCAGCCATCAAAGCCGCATGATCCCCTCCCCTTCTCCAACTCCCTCCCCCCTTTCCTGCCACCCAAAAGTGCCCCAAAAGCAGGCAACAAAATGCTCGTCTGCGTGCGGGCTTCTGATGCTGGGAACAATGCCAGCAGCGGTTTCTGCTTTTCCTCCTTTTTTCGGGGAGCAACTGGCAAAATGCTTTTGGCCTTTTTCATTCGAAAACTCGTGAAGTTTCCGACTGCGGCCTGTGGTCTGGCTTGGCCTCGGAAAACCATTTAAAAAGTAACGAATTTCCGATGCTCTGATGTGCAGTTCCAGTCGGGACTCCGAGGAAGAGTTCGGACTGGGATCTGGGTCCAGATTCCCCTGGATTTAAGCATAAGCAGCTGCTGCAATTCACACCATTAAGTGGACAACAAAAATAGTAGCGATTCGGGGAAGCGTTTGGCATTCCAAAACTAAAACCATTACTTGTCACCAACAAAAGAAAGCCACAAAGAAAGAGCACAACATTTTTGGTAAAAGTTTGATCGATTGGCTAAGCCAACTCTTTTTTTAGTATCGCTATATTCTAATTCCTCGCCAGCCCCTTTCGTAATAATTATAATTACTAATAGCCATTGTAATTATCCATTTCAACAAATCTCACTGTTCAAAAAAAAACTAGTTACAGGAATAATTTACAGATTAAATGTGTTTGAAGATTAGGGTGTCTAATTTAGTAATTATACATTTTATGGGTATAATCATTTATTTTATATTTTAGTTTCAGTGTAGAAATCAGATTGCCATTTCCGATCCCGCTCTTTTTCTCGCTGTGGAAGGAACCCCTTGAGAAATGCTCCACTCACCTTTAAGCCGGCGACTAATTGCTGCCGCCGTGGCTGCCGCCGCTGATGTGTTGTTGTTGTTGGCCGCCGACGCTGCCGCCGATGCCGCTGCCGTCGAGGAGGCGGGCGGCACCTGGACGGGCGCCGCGGTGGAGACCGCCAGAGCGGCTCCCGCTGCCTCGTAGGCGTCCTTGTCGGTAATCTCCTCCTTAATTATCGCCTTGCCGTCGAGCGCCATCTGGAAGAAGTGGGGAAAGCGGACGGGAAAAGCGGTTAGAAGGCGGTTGGAACGGAACGGAAGGGAGCGGCGCCCACGCCCGGCTAATTTCCCCGGGCAGACTGCACGGGTTCCCAGAGCGGCGATGGACGAAAACATCAAGTGACAAAGTTCTCACATTATGTTTTCAACTTATTTGATTTCAATTTGATTAAATGGTTGTCTGACATGCAAATTGGGCGCGCCCGCACTGAAACTGAAACACAATCGAAGGCGAAGACCTTGGGCCTTTGTTCGCCTGGAGAGGAAAGAACAGCTGCCGCTTTAATTTGGCCAAATTGCTTCCATTTCTAAGAGGTTTAAGTGCAGATATTTTAAATATGCACTTTCCATTCAATAATAAACCAGCTGCATGATTAGAGACTTGGGTTTTATTCCCTTGAGTCCCTTAAATATGCTATTTGCTGCTTTAATTCTGGTTCTTAAAGGAAATAATCATATGGGTGCTTGCTTTGAGGGTTATGGTGTAATTACTATTCATTCTATATATCCTATAACTTCTAAATATAAAGATTTAAGATTTTAAGATTTAATTTAATTTTCTGCACATACCAGTATACATAAATTTTCCGTTCATTTATTGCTTCTTTTATTGCCTTGAGCGTCACTTCAAAATGTTTCTTTGTTCATTAATTTATATTCAACTAGAGGGCCTGTGTCCGCTTCGCTGGTCAACACAATTTAACAACATAAAAGTCAATGTTGCAACCTTTTTCAAATATATGGAAGTATAGAAAGATGGTGATTTAACACTTTTCCAGTTTGACTTTTCCACTTGCGCAGCACAATCCAGCCGTTTCTCTTTTAAACCTTAACGCACTGCAATATCGGTATATAGTCGCCATTGGTCCAATATCTAAATTTTCATTATCACTGTAGTTCGCAGTGGGGTCATATTGGAATGCCATGCGATTGAATGATGCCAATGATCTCCATGTGCTCATTTGTCTTTCTTCGCTTAAGTTTTGTGAATATACTGGCTGCTGGCTTGGATGTCTGCGGCCAATGTTTGCACGTCGTCCTCTAAGCATTTTGGACTATGGACAGAGTGGTGAATTTATTCTCAAATGCACGATCCACATAATTTTCACAGTTCAACTTAAATTGAATAAAAATTCTTTTTTTTTCACAATTTCAAAGTGAACACAAAAATTGAGTTAAAATGCTATGGGAGCGTGTTTGTCAGTGTGATGAGGTAGCAACTCACTTTATATGCGACAATATTGCAATTTTCTTACGGATCCCTAATTTTTTTCAAAATAAATTATAGCCTATTTAACTCCACGATAATATAGCATTCTATCGGTGAAAGAATTTTTTAAATCGGACCAGTAGTTCAGGAGCCTATTCCCTGCAAACAAACAAACAAACAAACAAACAAACAAACAAACAAACAAATTTTACCTCTTTATAATATTAGTATAGATAAGATGCCAGCATGTCATTCCTACAAATTTCTAAAAATTCTTGAGATGTTTCTCTCCCCCAAATGGCAGAGGCTAAAAACGATTCTGGGGGAAAAAAACAACGACAGCTGCCAACAGTCCACACGCCGTAAACACCTGTTCCGTAATTGAGTTGAAGAACTTTCCTCCGAGACGCCCAACTAAATGAATTTCCATCGAGAAACTGGGTTCCTCGGGGGGGGAACTCGAGATCGAAGCCTTGCTAATTGACTCGGCAACTGCACTTCCTGTTTACCAATCATCGCGACCCATTGCCGCCGGGGAGATCCGGTCACCCACCCACCAAAACACTACCTAAAACCACCCACCACCCAGCGACCACTTTCCACACCCCACCTGCAAGTTGTTCGTGTCCAGCTCGCATGGGGAAACGCTTTTGTGTTGATTTTTATCACTAAAATATGTAAATACCTCTGCGGACTGTGGGAGTTTGTGCAGCTTGCCGTGCCCCTGCGTAAACAAGCCGGGAAAATCGGGTGGGGAGTGCGGAAAAGGGGAAAACGGAAAACGGGGAAACGGTGGCCCGCAAACCTGTTCATTTTCATTCATGTTTTCGATCAATCTCTGCTGGCCGTTTTCGCTCTGCGCCGAGGTGCAAGAAATGTTTAGAGCAATTGTTTAAAGTCAATCGTCGCGCCCGCCAGTATTTACACTTGGGAGGGGGCATCGAGGCCTCCGGAACCCCCGCAGTCCCCTCAGCCCCCGAAAGAGCAGTTGGAGCAGCTGTTTGGCATCAGAGCGAAATTACACACAAATGCCGCAAATGAAATTCTATTAAAAACAAACACTTGACACGCCGGCAGCTGCCGTTTGCCAAAACTGAGTGAGTGCGGTTGGGGGTGGTGGTGCAGATGGTGGGGGGAATTGCGACTAATGACGACCCAGCCCCTCTTTTTCTGCCCCCCACCTCCGCTGGGAAAGTCCGGACTTCGATCTCGGCCTATCCCTCGGGCCGAACACTTGACAAGTGTTTTGCGAGGTCTTTCCCTTCCAGAGCTTGCGAAAAACACCCAAACCCCGGAGACAAAACATGCGTGCATGTGGATGAGGGGGGAGTGGGGAGTAGGGGGAGGGGGCAGACAACAACAAGTGTTTGTGAAAGGCGGCAGGTGAGCTTAATTGGGAACTGGGAGCCACTGGGGGGGTGGTGCGATGGTGCCATGGTGGTTCTCTGACTCACTTAATAGCCAGCAGCTGCCGCTTTTGGCCTGGCTATGACGAATGAATCAAATGTCAGGAGCAGTCGTGTCGTTGTCGCTCAAGCAGCTGTCGCCTGTCGTCGCCAGAAGGCGCCCCAAATGCCCTCTTCCTTCGCCCCCCTCCGCCCACCAATTTTCCATCCTGTGTAAGGCAAGCACTTCAAAGAGCCGGGAGCCTCACAAGCTTCCATCGCAGCAAAATGGAAAATGTCGCCCGCAGAAGTTTTTCCCACAAAACTTGGGCCAGCTGAAGCTGAAGCTGAAACTGAAGCCGAGGCGGCAGGATCCAAAGGGGAAGGGCGGAGGGGAGAGGGGGGATTGGGGGCTCGGGAGGCTGTGGGGCTGCGACGGCTGCCGGCGAAATTGCCAAGAGGAAAAGTAATTATTTAAACGGAGCCAGCACAGTGGGATAGGAGCCCCCATTACAGATTTGCTTTGGGGAATTAATACGAGTTCGATTCCCTAGACTTTAAAAAGGTTTCGATAGTTTTGACCAACCATTAAACCATTAAACTAACGTAAAGTAAAGAAGATTATTATTACTATTATTATTTTTATTTTTATTTATTTTTATTATTATTATTTAATTCACCAGTTAGCAGTTAGGACCTCTTAAGCAGAAGGCAAAGAACTTGTGAAATGTTAGAATTTCAATATTTGAACTACAGGCTTGTTTCTGGAGTTGAATCCACTCAACTTCTCCACTTCTCCCAATCTCTGGCCACCAGTTCACCCCCGGGGAAATATCAACTATTAGCAGCCCGTGCTCGACGATTTGACAAATGAATGGCGACGGCAAAATACATTTTCACTGCATAATTTTCAATTAGGCTGGCAAAATCATAAAAAACAAAGGACAAATTTTAAACGACATTCATTTAATTCTCCGGTGGGGGGCGGGGTTGCTGGCGGGGGCGTGGCACCGGAGAGCCATGTGCTGGACAGCAAAGCATTTTATACTTTTATCCCTTTTGCCAACAAAAACAGCCACACAAATGGGCCAGGACGAAAAGGACGAGGAGCGGTTAACGAAAAGGCGCGCCAACTGAAATAACAACAACAGCAAAGGCTGTGGAGAGCGAAGGGGGTTGAAGGCCAGCCGAGAACGAGGTGGTTGGGATGAGAGGTTGGGAAATCACAGCACAGCTGCAAGTGCTTTCCTCGTAAGCTGCCCATTTTCCTATTCCCCCGCCCCTGCCACTTTTTCACCCTCCACTTTCCCCGCTTTCCTGCCACATATGTGTGTGTGTGCGAATGACAACCAACTGGACCTCGGACCTCGAACCTGGGACTCCGGGACACCCGGACTCGCAGGACTCGCAGGACTCCGGGCACTTTGTATTGCGGAGTCCGCATTGTGCGTCATTATGCGCAAGTGGCGCCCGCTTTCCGCTCTCCACTGCTGGGAGGGATTACTGGCGACGACACCTGTGCAGCAGCAACATCGTTTCACAGTTAAAACTTTTTTGCAACTTGCTGCGTCAGCTGCTTCATTACACATGGGCTACAAATGTATGCTGGCGCGGCCGAGAAGAGCGGGTTGAGCGAAGAGTTCTGGGCTGGGTAATTAGCATTGGGCCGTCTGGCATTCGGGGCTAATTACACAGTCAGCGCCAACAATTTCCGCCGTTCGAACATTATGGCTTTTGAATGGGATGTGAGAAAATGTGCCAAAGCGATTAATAGCCGATGGGCTAGGACTGAAAAAATCGATTTGAGGGATTCTCTGGTAGAAGAGAGCTGTAATTTTGATTGGCAATTAAAATGTAATAACTAGTATTTCGGGACTTAAGTTTATTTGATTTATTTTTATAGGCAAGTGGTTTGTATTCCTAACTTAACGCACTTGTTGAGTTGCTAAGAACCATACAAAAATTGTATTTTTTCTTTTCTGAAATCCCTTTAATGCATTTGTACCCTTCCTTGATGCTAAACCTAATCCCTGCTGATTCATGCACCACAAATTATTCACTTTTTTTCACTCTCATTAAGCTCCTTAAAAAATTACATAATTGGCTGAGTCAGTGGCAAGAACTTCAGCGGCAACCCTCGTCAACTATTTGCTAAGCGCCTCTCAGTCTGCGAAAGTGTCTGTACGAGTATGTCTGTCTGTCTGTCTGTTGGCAACGTGCCGCAGCATCATTTTAAATTACACATCACACAAACGCACACACACACACAGACACTCAGAAGAGGAGCAACAGGAAAAGGGGAAGCAGCAACAGCAACAACAGCAACAACAGCAGCAGCAGCAGAAGCAGCAGCAACATCAACATTTTTGCACTACTCGGCCGCACGTGCGAGTGCTCCTGCCCTGCCACGCCCCTTTTGCCGTAGAGCCGCCCCTCGATTCACCCTTCATTTGCAGCCTGTGTGGGGCATAATAAGATAATGGCTTGTCACAGGGGCAGCAACATCAGCAACTACGGGGAAAAACAGTTGAACGAGTGTCGCGCTTAATCGGCTTTATGGTCTGTTTTATTTCCGATACGAACTGCTTTATGGGGCAGGCTTTTGGTGGCAGGGGAGTGGGGAAAGGGGAGTGGATGGGGGAGGGGTGAACATTTGGCTGCCACATGTTGCCCACAAAACGTATTTAGGCATCCCAATTATGCCAGCAACAGCAGCAGCAGCTGATGGCCGCCAGCTGCCAATGTTGCTGTTGTTGCTTTTGCTTTTGCTAAAGTTGCTGTTGTTGTTGCTGCTGCTGTCGAGATGCAATTTTCCAGCGTGTGTTGCAATTGAAGATTTTCCAGCTGCCACGGCTGGCGGCGCTTGTTCTCCGCTGATTGGAAAATCATTCTGCCAGCCTTGCAGCACGTGACGCCATTCAAGTTTTTGCCAAGTTGTCTGCCAGCAGCAGCAACAGCAGCAACACCAACAACAGCAACAACAAGAGCAACCCGGGCAACCAGCAACACATGTTGGCACGTGTCGACGTTGACGTCGTTTGGCCAAAAGCCTGCTCTCGACTGCCGTTTTCAATTAAAAATTGCGAA